CCATCTTTATTTCAACAGAAAACACGGTGGTTTCGTTTTTGGACCTACATTTCTTTACTATCCGTACTTTGTGATGGCCCCTTCAAAAGAAACTGCAGTGTTGCCTAAGTGTAATCTTTGTCAGTTAACTCTATGAATCAAAATGGCGGATAAAAATACGTTTATTTTGCTTATTTGACCTTCACTACTGTAACATTTTGAACTTGACAGCTCGCGCTCCGCAAATCTATATTACCGTTTAACAATGTTTATCGATGAAAAAATATGTTTTTTTTATTTATTATTAGTAGTGCACAGTCCATTCGATTAGAGCTTTTATACCGTTTCCAGTTTGTTCAGTGAGTTATTTGTTCGAAAATAAGTAACAAGGGTGGAAGTTAGTTCACCGCAATCACGCCTTATATTAAAATTGTGATTCTTCAATATGCCACCAATTAAACGTACCAACCTAGGTCGCACAACTCGCAAGTCAAAGATATGTACGAAGAAGTCAAAGTGACGAGCAGCGAGGAGCAAGGAATGAAGTTAAACGGATTAAAATTCAACAACGTAGATGTGTCGCATTTAATCCCAATCGAGATGCATTCAATTGTGACGTGGCAATCGATTACAGTTCACAACAAATCATTGCTGTTGGACCAATGAACGTTGTGAGTCCACATTGCAAAGCTTTCAAGTTTAAAAATGAAGCCCCTGGATTATGTTGTGTCAGTGGAAAAATCAAATTTACTCCATTGATACCACCACTTGAGTCACTAAATTCATCGGTTTCCAGAAATGCGCCAGATTCTATATATTTCTTTACTCATATCTAGCAATACAATAATTGCTTTCAAATGACGTCATTTGGGGCAACAAAATCATTCTACTTAATTTTATGCCTATTTTCAAGGTAAGTTGATGGGGGAATGCCAGTGCTGCCAACGTATTTTGCTAGCCACATGGCGGTACAAACACTTCGCTATACAATTACCTATGTTCAATATATTTACCCTTTTATTTTTATTATTCATTATTCATTCCATTTCAAAGCTAAGGTACGACAACGTCTGTCAGGTCAGCTAGTACTTTAGAGAAAAATCTAACCATTTCTAAGTATGTGCACTTTTTTAGGAAACTCAAAGATTTTGATTCCAAATGAATTACTTTCAATCTTACATATGGGAATTCCAAAAATAGACCCATATGAATATGTGGTGTGTAAAGAGTAAATTCGCTTGACACCATTTGCTGATTACTCAAAAAATACATTAAGCAAAATAAATGTGGTTTTATGTGTATCCAATTTGACTGATCTTTAACATCATCTTTATCCATCAGAGCGCGCAGTAACACGTTGTTTGCTGCTTTCATAGGCATCTATTCAGTCGGCTCTTTTATTAGATATGTATTTTCCTTGCAGGTTTGTTATTATGACTGACTCATGACTTGAAATAATTGCCAGGGCTACTGTATTCTAGACCTATACAAAGTAATGATAGTCGTACCTATGTATATACCGCCGTACTTAGGTAGGCAGTAAAGGGTAAAAAATCTGAAAAGATTCAGTTCAAAATTTTGGATATTTTTGAACTGAATAAAATAGTTTTCATAATTTGTTCATATTCTTTTTTCAAAGGAAAAGCGGAGTAATGTAGAATTATATTTTACTTTAATATAATTTATTCATATTGAAATTAACATAAATAGCACGAAAAAGAATCTTTTCAAAATCTAATGTTTAATAGCCATTAAATTACAGTTAACATTATTCAACAAAACAAAAAAATAATAATATAAATAAACTAAAAGCAGCATGTTAAGCGAAGAATATTTTTCATAATCATTCTTTCGGAGTAACAGTAAAATGATAAATACTTGTTCACAAATAATAGGATTATTACATAAAAAAAATTAAATAAGCAACGATTAAAAAGGGTAAAAAGGCGGTACTTGTATCATACAGATGATAAAGGCAGTAACATGTGAAAACTACTGCTTTTATGCTTAGGAAATGTAATTAATATGAAATAGTTAACAACGTGAAAAAATAACTATTTTTGTAAAATAACGTGATTAATGATATATTTATTTTGTAATTGTAATCATAAAAGAAATGCACTGGCGTCAAAATTTAAAAGACAGCAAATGAACTTCACTACGTTAAGGTGGTTAATAAGTAACTGTTTTTGTGAATTACGCAACAAAAACAATGATCGAGATTTCCAGTAACGACCTGTTAGTAGAAGATCCGAATTAGAAACGACCTTCACCAATCTGGTTAATGGACGAAAAGTATTGTACATCAAATTTAGTATTTTAGAAAGTATAGTATATATAATATAATATAATTGCTGGTGAGACTATGATTAACTAATACAAATAATTTTGAGAAAATTTTTCCATGTTGGGTGGTTGACTAGAAAGTTACAGTTAAACCGCAATGCTCAGCCTTACCTTTTGTGCTTGACAGTTAAAAGAGTTGTCATGGTTCACCCGGGACCCAAACATCGGGCATCACAAAAAGGCACAAAACACGGATGTTCAGACGTAGAAGCAGTGTTGCCAGATCACCACTTATGGGTTTGTTAATCAGAACTTCAAAAATGAATTTAGGGACAAATAATAGCTAACTTAAAAGTTATAGTTACCAAACCTCCAAGTTAACTAGGCATTGAAAAACCGAACCTCAAGTGTACAACTTCCTGTATTTTGATTGATTTTTGATGACAATGCGAATGATCAGTTCACCTGATGACGATTGAAGATTACATCAATGGAAACGTCGTGAATCAAAAAACCTTATAGACAATGAAAGTTCGAGAAACAATATTTCAATCCCTGCATTTTGTTGTTCACATTCAAAATAACGAGGGATGTCTTTTAAGTTTTGCATATAGAAACTGCATCTTAACCTCACTCTTTAATAAACTTAAATGCAAAGATTCACAACAATACGTGCAGTGTTCTCACTACAGTGAATTTTTAAGTGTCACCAAGTCATTAGAAAAATGGAACTCAACCGAGAACATTTTAGCGCCATAATTTATTAGAACTTTCACAGACAATTATCGCAACAAGAATGCCTTGCTGAGTTACTGTCTGTTTTCGCTAACGAAGCGCCACATCAGTTGACAATTTCCCGTTGGTATGGAGAATTCAAACGTGGATGGGTGAGTTTTAGCGACGATCCCAGAGTGGGTGCACCAAAAACGGCAGTGACCCAGGAAAACGTCGATGCTGTGCGCAAGCTCATCATTGAAGATAGACATGTGACATATCGCGAGATTGAGGCGTCCTTGAGGATCTCAAAGACCTCAATTCAAAAAGTTTTACATGAAGAATTAGGAGTAAGAAAATTAGTTTCTCGTTGGATACCCCACCTGTTGACTAAAGAGCAGAAAGCAGCCAGGGTTAATTGGTGCCAAAAAACGCTTGACCGTTTCAATTCCGGAAACTCAAAAAATGTGTACAGCATTGTTAGTGAAGATGAATCGTGGATTTACTGTTATGAACCAGAAAATAAACGACAGTCGGCTGTTTTGGTGTTCCAAGGTGAAGAAAAGCCAACAAAAGTCATCCGTTCTGTAAGTGTTTCGAAAAAGATGGTCGCGACATTTGTGTCATATTGCAACAATTCCTCTTAATGAGCAAAGAACTGTTACTGCGGATTAGTATACCACCATTTGTTTGCCAAAAGTCATCACCGAGCTTCGAAAAATCAACCCCGAAAAAAGAATCATCCTCCACCAAGACAATGCAAGCTCGCACACAGCTCAAAAAACAAGGCAGTATTTAACGGAAGAAAACATGGAATTATTGGACCATCCTCCATATAGTCCCGATCTAAGTCCTAACGATTTCTACACTTTCCCGAAAATTTAAAACAGACTGCGTGGTCAAAGCTTCCAGTCACCAGAAGAAGCAGGTGACGCATTCAAAAATGCCGTTTTGGATCTGCCAGAAAACGAGTGGAATAAGTGCTTCGAAAATTGGTTCGAGCGCATGCAGATGTGTATTAATCTTCGTGGAGAATACTTCGAAAAACAATAAAGTCATTTAAAACTACCTACCGTGTTGTTTTATTTCCATATGCAAAACTTAAAAGACATCCCTCGTACTACTCGTTGATTACTTGAATGTATGTGGATAACAAAAATCAACGACCGGCTAGTTGTTAGACTTTAAAAAGGTTTTCTGTCAATAATGCAGTAATAGTATTGAGGAGAATAGGGCGAACAGGCAGTAGCTTCGGCACGGCAGTCGTTCATCCACCTGGTTGAATACCTGTTACGCCGTTTTGTCACGGTTATTATTCGAACCTGTTGGCAGTGTATTTTTGATAAATCGTCCAGAATGGAATGACCTGTCGATTTTCACACCTCATTATTCACCTTGAGTACGGTCAGAAAGCATGTTTACAGACTAATTGTTACCGCATGTAGGTACTGTCTGACATTGCAGTTATTTTGTTATGCTAAGTAGTCAGATCCTAGAATTCTCCATGAATGAAAGTAGTGTATATGACGTGGTCATATCGTAAAAGTGACCATTTAATCGAATGATTGAACATTCCATGATCCTGATCTATGATACTAAATCGTTTAAAAATATAATCCACTAAAATAATTAGGGGCAGGTGGGGCAAGGTGGGGTAACGAGGCAAGATGGGGTACGCGTATTATTCCGCCAATCCAACGGGTTAAATTCGAAAACTACTCATGAAACGACGCCAACGTGTTGCTTATTTCAGTAGCTTCTGTATCGTCATTGCAGTAGGTCGTGGTTTTACGACAGCGCAGAATCACGTGTATTTTAAAGTTACGTTATTAGTTTCGCATTTGTTTACAAGCGTGAAACTGCTACAAAATATTTGTATACAGTGCTAAGTTTGGGTACTGAGGAAGCTTTTGACATTGTAAATTAAGGTGAGCTTTTGTTTTTTAAATAACTATATTATTTTTTTGTTGCTTTTATTTTTTTTATATAATGCAGGAAATTCCAATATTTTTTAATTTCAGAATGGTGCGAAATTACGTTCGTAAAACCGTTGGACGGAAGAGCAGATGAAGAACGCTGTTTTAGCTGTAGTGGAAAATAAAATGGGTTATTACTTAGCTGCAAAATCTTTTGAAGTTCCTCAAACTACGTTGGAACGAAAAGTAAAATTGGCTACAGAAAATATAGACAATTTACAAAAACTAAAAGTACCTCTGGGTCCAAAATCTGGCCATATGATCCGACTGTCTTCACTGAAGACGATTTTATCGCTTCTGAAACCACTAATATAAATTTAGTACAGGATCAATTACCCCAAGCTAATATTTTCCAAAATCCAGCGGAAAGTACAAACCCAAGATTAAATGAGAGCAATCCTAATACATCGACGCAATCATCAAGCACACAGTCTCAGTCCTCCAGTCCTCAGCCAGGTTGTTCATTTAGCAACACAAGTCGAGAGGAGCAGATTCATTCGCCAACAAAAAATACGTCATTTACACTAGTTAGTCCTACGCAGCTACTGCCGCCAGCGGTTACCACAAAGAAAAACAGAATCCAAAATAGGAAAAAAGGGAAGACTGCAGTTATAACCTCTTCGCCTTATAAGGAAGAGCTTGAGAAGGAAGAGCTTGAGAAGGAATTACAAGAAAAACAACAGAATAAACAATTAAAAGTCAAATGGAACATCGATAGACAAATGAAGAAAGAAGAAAAACAGAAAATAGTCGAGGAAAAATAAAAACTGAAGAAAAAAAAAACAGCAAAATCAGATAAGACAAAAAGGAAAGCGTCCCAGACATGAGTCAACTGACGAAAGCGACGATGAAGACGACACCTCATGTCTCTATTGCAGTGGATTATATTCCGAATCTGTAGAAGGCTGGATAAACTATATAAAGTGTAATAAATGGGCGCATTGCGGTTGCGCAGACGTTGAGGATGATGACGATGGAGTCACGCACATCTGTTTATCGTGTAAACCCAAGAAATAGTTTTTTTGGTACTATGAGCTTCAGTACCTTTAAGTATTATTAGGCAATCCAATTTTATTTTAGTTAAATGTTGTTAATTTCATTTTGACATTAAATTATAAACCCCATCTTACCCCACCTATGGGGCAAGACGGGGAAAATCTAACTTTTTCAGTTTTCCCAGTTAAAAAAAAAATAAATAATTTTTTAGTTTGTTTTCGGCAATTATTTATACACTTATAACCAATGAATAGTATAAAATAAAAAATATTCAAAAAAGTACGAATTTGAGCTATAACTCCTTAGCTACCCCATCTTGCCCCACCTTCCCCTACATTAATTACTGATAGAGGCGTTGGGAGCGCTTTGTTTACATTTCGACATGGCGGTTGTTATTGACAAAGCTGTTTTTCGAAGTGAAATTCTAGTAATTCGTTACTAAATGGGAAAGAAAGTGAGATTAAAAGACCTTGCCACATTCATTTAGGAACACAAGTCGAGAGGAGCAGATTCATTCGCCAACAAAAAATACGTCATTTACACTAGTTAGTCCTAAGCAGCTACTGCCGCCAGCGGTTACCACAAAGAAAAACAGAATCCAAAATAGGAAAAAAGGGAAGACTGCAGTTATAACCTCTTCGCCTTATAAGGAAGAGCTTGAGAAGGAATTACAAGAAAAACAACAGAATAAACAATTAAAAGTCAAATGGAACATCGATAGACAAATGAAGAAAGAAGAAAAACAGAAAATAATCGAGGAAAAATAAAAACTGAAGAAAACAAAACAGCAAAATCAGATAAGACAAAAAGGAAAGAGTCCCAGACATGAGTCAACTGACGAAAGCGACGATGAGGACGACACCTCATGTCTCTATTGCAGTGGATCATATTCCGAATCTGTAGAAGGCTGGATAAACTATATAAAGTGTAATAAATGGGCGCATTGCGGTTGCGCAGACGTTGAGGATGATGACGATGAAGTCACGCACATCTGTTTATCGTGTAAACCCAAGAAATAGTTTTTTTGGTACTATGAGCTTCAGTCCCTTTAAGTTTTATTAGGCAATCCAATTTTATTTTAGTTAAATGTTGTTTAATTCTTTTCATTTTGACATTATATTATAAACCCCATCTTACCCCACCTATGGGGCAAGACGGGGAAAATCCTACTTTTTCAGTTTTCCTAGTTTTAAAAAAAAATAAATTTTCATTTTGTTTTCGGCAATTATTTATACACTTATAACCAATGAATAGTATAAAATGAAAAATATTCAAAAAAGTACGAATTTGAGCTATAACTCCTTAGCTACCCCATCTTGCCCCACCTTCCCCGACATTAATTACTGATAGAGGCGTTGGGAGCGCTTTGTTTCATTTCGACATGGCGGTTGTTATTGACAAAGCTGTTTTTCGAAGTGAAATTCTAGTAATTCGTTACTAAATGGGAAAGAAAGTGAGATTAAAAGACCTTGCCACAAAAAGGTACTCGAGTTCTCGTACTAGGTGGGTCAAAAAATACTGGTCGAAACGTCAAAAAGCGGAGGAGTTTGGAAGAGTTATTATGTAAAAAACTTATATATAACATAAAAAAACGATAAAATGTCAACTTGTTGACTGAGTAGGCTAGTGTGCAAATAGTTCATCTCATGCACGCTACAAGTGAGCATGAAGTGAACGACAGGTAGTTCCAAGTAAAAAGGCGACCTAATATCAAAAAACGACATAATGTCACTTTCCAAGTTACGCAACAACCATGCCGAGCAGGTTTGACACGTTAGTACTTCACTCCAATATTTGATGTAAAAATAGTGTGCCAGCTAAAATCTTGTGTTTGTCTATTGAACTATTATACGTTTGTGAAATATATAACTTAACCTAATTTCTATTCCATTTTAAGGTTATACGTTAAATAAAGGAGAACAGGGTAACCACGCGAAGTAATAACTTGATTTGTTATTTGTGATACGTTGTTAAATTTTTAGTATTTTAGGATTGTATTAGTGTAATTATTTTATTTTAATTTCATAAGGGCCAATTTCACCAACATTCATATTATGGACCAATGGGAAAATACCTTATCGAAATGCAATCTGACGAAAGCTATCAAAGGTCTCTGAATATTAGTAATTTCTATTGAAATATTGAATAAAATCGTGAAAATTCGACTGTATTATAAACAAGACCACTTTTTGATTCCAACATGATGCTTTTGTACAGAAAAAACAGTACAACTTTTATGTATTTTGATATATGTTATAGGTTTACATTTAACAATCCGTTATCCCCCTCAGCGAATGGGAATGCGGCAAATAATAGGTCGATTTTCTAGCTGTTAAATTTGGCAGCAGATTTGGACGTTTGTTAATGCATGGCACTCTTGAATTTACCAAATTCAATATACTGAAAGTTATCATTACATACCTGTTGAATAGTGTGGATTTGTCTGTATCTTGCAAGTAAATAGAATATAACATACATTCCATCCAATTCCTCATCTTCCTTTACGTCATAATAGTAACCATTTATTAATTTATGGGATAATGAATTTCTTCAAAGCAATAAAAACATTATGTCCTCTCCATCCTAAATACAGATAACACGTGTAAGACGTGTCAATCCCTACATCTCCCTGATGCATAATGCAATTACTATGGACATAGACAAAAAACTATGAAAAATGTTTCACAGATAATGGCTTTTAAGTTCAAAAATCAAAAAAAACGAGTACTGTTTACTGTTTGTCTATTTTTTTTGACTAGCGGAGATATCTATCTGACACTTGCAGGGTTGCCAAGTCTAACGACGATCACGTCCCGTGGTGGAGGGTGCGAAATGAATCTTTTACATTTGCTGGTTTTGAATTTTTTTCGGGAAAATTTACTAGGTATCATGATTATAAGCATCTTTGGTAGATTGTTCGATCCGGAATGGGAAAGATCTCCTATTTATGAAAATATTTTTGGTATAATCTAACCGTTGCAATCAGTGCACAAACACTGTGACATATGATTTATAGCATAACCCGCTGCCCTATCAATACAAATTTAACATACAGGTCGCCTAGCCGTGGGGATGCAGTGGTCGGGATGAATATCACGGCAGCAACTGATGATTTGGGCATGTCTGGTAAGAACGTATGAAGTGAAACTCGCTAACTTCACAAATATGAAGATTTTGTACAATTTCTTTGAAAATGATGAAAGATATGTCTGATTTGGCAGGGTAATGTCGCAGCCAAATGGCAGTCACTCTTTCTGACACAGTCCGGATCGAAAGATGACGATACTCGTGAAATGTTTTGATACTTCTAAATCCTATCGAACATCCCTACTGTCAATATGTATAACCCAAGGTACCGACGGAGCTATTTTGCGGCGTCATGGACATAATTTTAAATTTTCATTTGCATTTTTTCAAGTGTTGTGCAATGATTTTGGGAAAAATGTCACGAATAGTCTTATAAAGCATAGTAAAGTATATTTCAACAGTTGGCGGCACTTACTCCACTGGGACCAGGAGCGTGAAACGGGATATTAATGCACAATCTGGCAACCCTGTCGCACCCTCACAGAATGGCCGCTGATAACCACACAAGTCACGTGTTGTCATTGAATAGCATGGAATTAAACCTTCAGAGTATAATATGTTTTGTGACTGGTACCAAGAGTTGACAGATCCCACACATGTGTCACTCCTTGAAATGCAATAATCAGCAGTATTCAAATAATGTCTAATATAAATATAAACTAGAATGTGTACTCGTGAAAAAAGAAAAATATGGCAAATTTGTAGTTTTTTTGCAAGTTTTAGGTTTGATGGTAGCTTTAAGGCGAATTTATTAATCGCTGTGAATATAGTGTGGATGTTTGTTCAGTTCCTGAACAACGAAGAATATTCAACGTTATGGATGTATGGATATCAAAAAACCTGAATGGTTTTGTGGGAATATCAATCTAAGGTGCCATAATGGTTCTGATGAACGGCAAGTAAATGAATGAATGTTTGGAAACGAGCAATATCTTTTGATAGAGCCTGTCATCAAGTAGGTGCTTAATGGCTATCTGCAAGAGGTTCATAGGAAAAAACACTCAGTATCACATATCAATTCAAGAAAATAATACAAACATGAATTTAATTCAAAAATCAAACATTTCTTAAAATTTTGACTGAATGGTGATGTTTCAATGACAAGTTGTATCTCATAGTTTGACAGTATTTTGTTTTCAACATTTCATAGCTATTATTTGCTAAAATTTGTTGATTGGAACTCGAAGCTCATTCGGTATATTTGACGGGCTGTTACCCTATAGGTGGAGAATAACGGACTGTTGTTGGTGAAATTGGCCCTAAAGCTACTAATTGCAATAAAAATGTATGTCATACTTAAAGAACAATAAAAGAGTTCGTAACATACTCTGGATTTTTATTAAATATTCTGTTTCGCTATATGATCAGTCGTGGATGACCCAATCCTTTAACGTTTATGATTTGACGGTATGGTCAAATTTAGTTGGCCATTTCGTAAAATGCGACCATTCTATAAAATGCTCGGTCATTCAAGTTTTAACGACAAATGTACGGGGAACCCTATGAAGTGTGAAATATGGCTAAAACGTGCATAGAATTATCAGGGGTGGGAGCGTACCTATAATCATTCTAAGTTTTAACGACAAATGAATGAGGAAACCTATCATGTGTGAAATATGGCTAAAAGGTGCGTAGAATTATCAGGGGTCGGAGCTTACCTATAAGTAACAAACATCGAAAAATTAAGATACACCCTTAAATTTAAATAAAAAAGCTCTGTCATGATCTGAATAAGACCACTGATAGTTCTTTGTGTATATATTAAGAATAAATGCTAAGACATTAGTAAATTTAATAACGAAAAGGTTATGCCGAGATCTGAGATCTCATGTAAAAAGAGCCCCATCGAGATACCCAATCATCTATCGGCGGCAACATGTCTATCGTCGGTGCCTCTGGCCCAAACTTATTGACATTTTAACTTGCCGTTCTGATTCCTAACACGGATAGCGCTTTGACAGCACCGTATCGTATGAACTTGGGTACCTGCAGTTTGTGTGACTCTCGATATGGGTATAGGAAAGGCTTCAGTTTCACCTGTCCCCATTGTCAATTCCCGTGAAGGGTGAAGTTGTGTCGTCGGGTTCAATTTCAGCCTTTGCTTCTTCTATCGACACACGAGTCTGTCGATTCACGAAAATGTAACATGACACCACTATACATGTATATCTAGATACGAGGTGCTGTATTTAGACGATATTGAACTGTTAAATTGTTCCAAATTATACAATTTTTTGAAGTCGGTATCTTACTTCTGTGGAGATATAATAATAATAATGTGTCTTTATTTTTGGGTTAAAAGAACAACAAAAAAAACTCATTTGATGAGGAAGGCGGTATTCAACATCGTTACTCTTCCATACATCCCCGTAAATATACTATGCTTGTAATTACAGATTAATAATAGATGTAATTAATACAACCAAAATAAAACTACTGTAGTGTTTTCACATGGGATTTGACTCTATTTCGGAAGCTACTAAGTGAGAGCGAAATTTTTACTGTATCTGGCAATGAGTTGTACATTGTAGACGCAACATGCGGTAAGTAAATGACTTTTTAAAACGGCTCAATACTATGGAACGGAACATCACAGCGATTACAAGTATGAGTTACCCTATCATGAACATCCGGTCCCTTAAAAGTTTGGTATAGAGGTAAAGTGGTAGCTGGGTTTTGTTAATATTGTAAGTTAAGCAAGCAAGATGTATCAAAAAGCGCTCATTTATGTTGAACCAGCCAAAGGCTCGAAATTCATCACTGAAGTGGTGACATTTTTTCAAACCGTACGAAAATTTAATACATGACTTCTGAATTTTTTGAATAGAAGGCTTGTCTCTAGTAGTGAGAGCAGGCCAGTGTACTATATCAGCATACGACAAGGACGACAATATCAACGAAGCGCATAGATTCAGCTTGACTTCGGTACAGAGAGCATTCTTGTAAAGCTAAAAAGTCCTCAATTTAGCATAAGCTTTTTTTAAGAGATGCTTAACAAATTTAAGAGTATTATCCATATATACCTAGTCCGAGATTTCTACATTGGTTGCTTGCTTGTAATACAATGTTATTAATGCAGATTCTAAAATTCTGGTTGTCAGCAACCTCACATGGTCTTGATCCAAAAATAAGCAATTTAGTTTTATTTTCATTTAGTACAAGGCTGTGGACTCTTACATATTCAAATTCGAGTTCGAGTTCGAGTTCGAGTTCAAGTTCAAATTCAAATTCAAATTCTTGATTCTAGATAAATACTCAAGGTCAGAATTGATACGCGGGCAACATAAGCATCACCAAGTTTGAAAGAGTAATATAATTGTGTATCATCAGCATATTGATGTGTACTGCAAAATACCAACTGACTTTTCAAATCTGACGTGTAAGTCAAAACAACAACAGTCCTAAAATACTGCCCTGTGGCACACCTCTGGTTATACTACGAAACTGAGATACGTGCCCATTAAATTCTGTGCACTGGAATCTGCCTGATGTAGCTACTAAAGAAATCTACAGCCATCTTGCTTAGTCTCAGAGATTTAAGTTCCGAACATAAGATTTAATGATCTATTGTATCAAAAGCTTTACTGAAATCGACCAAACTCAAGCAACTATACATCTTATTGACACATGTTTTGAATAAGTCATCTGTAACAGTTGCAAGTGCGGTTGTAGTACTATGGCCAAAGCGAAAGCCCGACTGTGTAGTAGGAAGTATATTATTAGATGTAATACATATTTTTAGTTAGAAAGCTTATAGGGCGAAAATGAGAAAATTCTTTTGGATTACCAATCTTCTGGATAGAGATAACTTTAGAGTATTTCCAGTTGGATGGGAAAGTGTTGTTAGCAAGGCAAAAATTGACAATATAAGTAATTATGTTACTTAGACAAGGAAAAACTAGATATATATTTATTTGTTTCGGCTTTTGCTTTCAATATGATCGCAGATGAGCGGCACTTCAATCTTTATATATGTATAGTGTTTTAGTCTATTTAATATAGCTCTGAAGTAGAAAGTGTTGCCACTCTATGCTCATATAAAAATAGTTAAATAGTTAAATATTCGAAGATGGGTGAATTTTGGACGTTTAAAAAACAATCAACTACCAGAATAAAAGGAAACATATCGAGGAGAGCTTAAAATATAGATATTCTAAAGTATTTAAGTGCAAAACTGTCATAGAGGCGATCAACCTACAGGCGTATAGCGCTATTTACTGTTATAAGCGTGATAGAGTGGTGCGTAAATCGTGAGCTTCGGGATTGATTTGCGACAGGTAGTATGGTTACCGGCATTACCGATACACAGGGGACATTCTAGCTTTCGTCACTCAATTGTGGAGTAGACTCATCCAGTCTTATGGTGAGGCTCATGCCGTTACTCTTGTCATTATGAAAGCGTTAGATCAGCCGTGACTCTTAAGCAAACTTCTAGATCCAGCTCTCCTCTACCGTTACACCGATGGGCTCTGCTCCTCAGACCGGACCTCCATGATGCCGCCTCGCAATGTGCCTGCCAGACTGACCCTCCTGACTTCGACCTCCCATCCTAACCGATCTGGCCGATATGTCTACTCCTTTGTCTCTGTGGTATCGAGATTGTGGAATTCACAGCCTTAGGCAGTTCAAAAATCGGATTAACAAAGTTTCTTTAAGCTTTCCATAGTAGCCGCGGCGCAAAGAAGCTTGAAATATTTGAGTTATTTCCAGCACCGGAAGCCCCGCTTACATACCCCTTGTTTATCGAACGCCTGCCGAAGAGTATATTCATTCTTGGGTCGGCCGAATTTCGTTGGCCGGTGTTTCATAACCATTGCACCTCCACATAACATACCATCGGTATCTCCGTTCGCATAATAAAGTCAATTAATATTTTTAACACATTTAAACATGCTCGGCCAATTAATTGTGAGCTGTAACAGCATCGGACCACCAATAGGGCCCAAACGCGCCGTTCTGTATAAATGCATCTCGATAAGCGGCCTCTATCCATCATAGTCCTTGATAGGGACGATTCTTTAGTTCAGTGACAGCCGGCTGCTTGTATCCCCAGAGTAACGAGGGATGGTATATAGATCACGACTTAATTAGCTTCTTCTAATTTGAAAGACTGATCGCGATTTTGGTATGTGGTTTGTTTTCTCTTCATTTCTATTATAGTCTACGGTAAGGTAAGTTATTTGATTGTTGGGATTCTGATTGCATCCTTCAAAAGTATGAAACGTGTGAAAAGTCTAGATTTTCGCGATTTCTCAAGTGGAAGGTTAAATACTATAGATGATGATAGTTAAATAACTGTCGTTTCGGCGGATACTGATACTGGAGGTGGTAGGTCAATTAGTCATCAGCAACAGTAAACTTTTTGTACATTATGATGATCTATCAGCCTCGAGAAAATGTCAAAGTTCGAGCGATAGAAAATTTTCTCAGAAGAGGCCAAATTTCAAAAAACGTCTAACATGGGGCAAAAAACGATGGTAAGTATGAGCCCATTGAACGCAAAACTCTGTATGTGCAAAAAATCGAAAAATGAGATTTTTTATTGGTCAGGTAGATAATAGTAATGGCAAAAGAACTGTAAAGTGAATTAGGTGCAAAACTCATCACTTCGTCAGTTATTAAGCCTATAAATATTCAGTCAGATGCAAAACTCTGCAAAAATATATACATGTCAAATGCAAAACTGCGTAATTAGCGTCAACCAATCCCATTGGAGCATTTTAATCACGTGATCAATCCTGGAACACCTGCGCGTGTCTATCTCATATTCTGTTTATTTATTTTCAGTTTGAAGTTTGAATTCTTTAGTCGTGTGTCTTATTAACAATGGATGATAATTCTCTGATTCTACCTTGTGAAGCAGGAAAAAGTCGAAAACGACCAGTTTGAAAAGAAAATTGGAAAACGTCCAAATTAAAAGCGCAAAGGTACGTTTGACTGACTGGGTTCATAGAAAAATAATAATTACCAAACTAATATTGTTTGCAGGTGTAGGCCAAAATGTTTACCTGAATATCAAACATGCCGCCATGACAAGAAATCTACTTTTTCATGTAAGAAGCTATCAATGAGTGATATCCATCGATTTCATAAGCGAATTTATTCATGCAGCAGTAAAATTGAATAAGACATCCTTAAATTAAAATTTTGTGAAGGGGTATAACCTAAAAGAAGTTTTGGAAAGAAAAAATCCATTTCTATCCAGTATTATATTTCAAAAAATGACGGGACTAGAGTCAGAGTTTGTAAAGCCGCATTTAAAGGGATTACTTTGCTGAGTCCATTCAGAATCGAGAGACTAGCACGCAGTCATCTTTTCAAAGGAGAAGCGCCAACAGAGAAGAGAGGAGGAGACCGAATTAAAGACAAAAATGATCATGTTAAACAATCAATAAAAATTTTTATCGAAAGTCTGACATGTGCAGAATCCAATTATAGACGTGGTCATACAAGTAGATTATACCTTCCATGTGATCTTAATTTCAAGTAACTCTATGACATTTATTGCGATCGAAATAAAGACCAAACCGTTAGATTATGCTATTTCAGAAATTACGTCAATTGCAACTACAACTTAGCTTTTGGTACTCCACTAACAGATGCGTGCTCAACTTGTCTCCGTGCAGAAGATTCTATTGCAAAAGCAACTTTCCCCGAAGAAAAAACAAAACTACTAATCGAACACAGGGTCCATGTCTTAAAAACTAAAGCATTTTACGGTATGCTTAAAAATGATCAAGAAGATGTGGAAATTTGCACATTTGACTGCCAGAAAAATTTGCCATTACCCAAACTTCCCGACCAATCGGCATACTTGTGTCAGCAAATAAACCTTTATAACTTTACGGTTGTTTGCGGTAATTCAAAATGCAAGAATGTAAAATCTTTCGTGTGGTTAGAAACGGAAATTGCAAAGAACTCAAATACTATTGCATCAGCTGTGCATAATGTTTTGACGACACATCATTTCGAAGAAACAATAAACAAAGTTCAGCTTTTTGCAGATGGTTGTGGGGGGCAAAATAAAAACACCACCCTAATGTCAATGTTAGCATATTGGCTTGTAATGGAAGCAACTGCTCACATCAAGAATTTGCCCCCCGACCGAGTGTTCGGTTTAGTAGAGAAACAAATAAAAAAACAAAATATTATCGTTGATCGACGAGAATATGAAGATATTATAGCAAAACACTCTACAGTTCTGGGATTGACAAATTGTGACTATCAGTGGGAAATATTTGACTGGAAGACTGAAGCTGCTAGAGTAATAAAAAAATCGGGACACTGGCATTTCAAGTTTAACGAATCAAAGAGATTTATTTTTGCCAAAACACAAACACTTAGTGCCACCATTCAAGGTGAAATTTTATACAAGTCAAATTTAGGAGTTCCTCGCAGTGTAACGAAAAGAAATCATAAAATTTCAGACATGAGACCCAAGAAGATGAAGATTGAAAACTCTTTGAAGGGAGACAAGTCTTTGGAATTCTATAAAATTATTGACAAAAATGCCACAGAAGCCCAGAATAGAACAGACCCCGACGAGGAATACGAGACTGAAGAAGAAGAACCAGTCCTAAAAATTTAATAAAAACGTTTTTTATTTATATTAAGTAAGGATGTATTTTTCGTTTTGTATTTTTATAATGTTTAAGCGAATAAATCATTCGAAAGTACATGCAGTTTTACCTATGTATCACAAGAAATAAGTTAAAACTATCATTTCACCTCAAATGCAAAACTGGGTAAATGATTGCCTTAAGTGGAAAACTCTGCACTTGCATCTTTTATTTGCTGTTTTTCAGTCCGTTAGGCCATCTGTAGGTACAAGTCAAAGACTGAAGAAATACGTTTTTATCGTCTACTGTAAAATTAGCAAAATTGCAAGTACAGAGTTTTGCATTTAGCGGGCTCGTATGCAAATTTTAGGAGGCAGTTATTTTCTCAAGGGAAGGGCGCCCATGTATATTTGTATCACTCTCCGAAAGTTTCACTTGTCTGCTTTTAGCTACTATTAAGATAGTATACTGAACGATTTTCAAGTGACGTTTCTACTTCCCAAGCCTACTGTCGGGAAAGTATTGTAGTCGCGAACATTTTTGAAAATGATATAAGTTTTTTGGATGTTATATGACATCTTCAGGGGGGCCAACCAAGAATGCGAGGTACCGTAGAGACTTGCGGCAAACAAAACGCCCAAGGGCCTGAAAAATATTATCAAGTGTCTGATATGACCGCTAGGGGGACGTAACTACAATCCTGAATCTAAAAAAGTGTTTTCGTTAATTGCGCTATATTAATCTAACAAAAAAGTACCTGATCTTAAAACTCGAGGATAATGTGAACCTTCTTTGTTTGACAATTTTTGCTGTATCTCTAAAAATAAAGTGGAGGGGGGTATTCAAAGATTTTCGTAAAATACACAGTAAATCTTCGAAACGGCTGAGCCGATTTTAACAAAATTGGGCTATTTGAGATGAGCTATTCTTGTGCTACAAATGTTATAATATATGAAGTTATGTTAGTGGACCCTAGAGGGCTTTTTTCGATATTCCGACAGAAACGGTTAATTTTCTCAAAGAAATTAAATGCATTGGTATGTTTTTTTTATAAAAAAGTAGCTAACTAATGTCTAAACAAGCTAGCGAGAACCGCATCTTTATATCTTGTTCCAAACCTAAAATTTAGGCCAAAGAAAATTTTAAACTGAAATACCTTAAATGTTTTTTTTAACTATTGTTTTTGGAAATCTATATTATTCATCAGAATAAAGTCACCCTTTTAGAGATACTACAAAATATCTCTGAAAGGTAAGCAAGTAATGCTTATAACAAAAGGCATATTTTTTGTTTCAAAGCATATTTACTATGGGTAAATCCGAAAAAATGGCAGTTTTCGGCCTATTTTTCAACGGCAAAGAATTGGAAGAACACAAGAAAATATTAACCGCGTACTGGGATATATTAAAGGAAATCCTCATGTTAGCTCAAGGGCATTATGCCTTGAGATGGGTATATCACGAACAATCGTTCAAAATATTCTGAAGGACCATAGGTAAGTTCTAATGGCCATCAAAATATAGATTTTCCTAGCAACAACCATATTTAATCTTGATAAACCTTCTTCCAATAATTTTTTAATCAACCTGGACCTTAAAATAATATTGAAAAATACGAGAAATTAATGCTTTCTTTGTACAGAACACCCTGTATACATCCAACATCATATTCAGCAATTACTTATCCCCAAATGAACACAGATGATTTTAAGAGCAGTAACGATCCTTAAAAGGTGTCCGTGACAGAGAAAGTGGCCATAGGATGTAATCCTTACTTTGTTGCTTTGGATACCTATTTCTGTGCTGAGAGCGGCACCTTTCAATGACCACGGCTAAATACAGGACTCTGTGTCATCTGTTGTGATGCACAATGTTGTGAATAATTGCACTCGTCTTCGGTAGGGATTACACCGTTGAAAATTGCATAGGGCAAAAGATAGGAGTTGGCCAAGTGTTGAAATTGTTTCCTCATGTTGTACTCGTATGTTCGACTTGTGAATGAATATTTGATATCAGGACTTAGGATATAAGATAATATTTTTATAACCAGTTTAACGTATAGATGCCACAAAACAGTAATAAACAAGTTTGTAAATACGCACTCACCCATACAGAGTATAGATGTGCTATCTTGAACAGGTATGTAATTCCCAGCATTGACCACTGACCGTTGGCTGGTGGTTAGTAATGGTTTATGGAGGAGGGGAATTAGGAAACTCGTGAAGTATACAACCAAATATAGCAACGAGTCTTAATTATTTGAAGGAACCATAAGCCTTAAGACGTTTGAATAAAGCAGGCACAGTGACGCTAGCAAAAGGTTTCGATGTGGCCTATACAAGTAATGATGTCAATGTCTTACCGCTCGAGTAGCGCTAATGTTCTGATGATCGCAGCTAATAGACAAGTGTTACGTTATCCTGTGACTGTCTCTCTGACCCAGCTTTATTATTTTTACAAGGTTTTATTTACCTTGACCTATTTGTACGTTAGTATGTACTATGTATATGTCCGACAAATCTTGGAGCTGAACCAGTTATCATCGACCAATTGAGCTGAAATTCTGTACATACGTTTACTTTGCTTGACAATACAAAATAAATTAACTGCCGACATGTTGAATCCAACATGACCGATGCTACATATGGGTAATAAATGGAAGATCTAATGAGAGAAACTCAATCACCAAAGCAACGCCACTCTAAGTCCAATTTGGCGGTCGCAGTACAAACGAAAAGGTTTGATGAGAGAAATATAACAAAGTGACATCATTTTTGGTCCAATATGGCAACCGCCACAAAATGGCGATTTAGATGTTTCACAGTCACCCTTATGATATGAGTATCAAATGAAAGGGCTTGATGAGAGAAACGGGATAGACAAAGTGGCGACGGCGTTTATAATTATCATAATCACCCTTATGGTTACTTGACATCATAAATACTAGAAAGTGAGAAGGGAATTAAATGAAAAAATAAACTTATGAAAACAAGCTTTAATTTAGCTGTTTCTTAAAATGAACAAAAACATTTTAAACTTTTTTTTCCGATTGTAAATGTTCAAATGCTAATCATGCTCCCTCATCTGAAGTTCTCAAATAAAAGCGTGTAACGTTTTGACAGCAGGATGAAAAAAGAGTATAGCAGGCATTTATTTGAAAACTTGAGATGAAGGAGCTTCATTACTTTTTTATTTTATTCATGCTGCATGGGAGTTCTAGAGATTGGCTAGATGTTGTGGGACACTCTGTGTACACTGTACATTTCTGACCGTAGTGAAACTGCACGTATACATGTTCACCATCTTTCTGTTATCCGCCTTAATCTAGATACCTCGATACAGCATCCCTTCACGTATGAGCGCTTTTACTAGGGGCGGTATGTCGGTATGTAGTGGTCGGCGGCCAACTTCGATCACTTTCAATATTACGCGCACAATAGACAACTGTCGGTGCTCTGTGCTCTGGTTGGTGGCTCCTTTTGATGTCAAAGGTGCCGACATTGATTCTTCGGCTGGGATGAAGGCGTGGGATTAGCCCCGGCTTGGTAACAGACACCTTTACGCTTTTTAAAGTTATCTGCGATGCGTAAGGTATTATGAGTATGTGCACGCCGCCCTCGCACATTGCACTGGGTGGAGGTGGGATGAGCTTCGGTGTTTGGTTGAAGTTTTTTGTGTTCATTTATTACATATACTAAAAATAACCAGGCTGAAAAATGATTGAAGTGTAAACAGATACTAATATCATACGAGGTTATTTTGCTTAATTTTACCTCTTTATAGCAGCTATGTAGATCTTTATTTCTTCGAACTAATTTCCATGCCGCTGTAGCCAAAAGTTTGATTTATGAAACTCAAGCAGAGGAATCTCCGATTTTGAGCACATTGATAAAACAGACCAACTGAGAATATTTGTTTAGGCATCAAGTCCAAATTTTCTCGTTTTATTTAGTTTTATTACTGATTTCATGTTTTATTCGCTCCATTTTTCATATTTTGAACCCTTACGAGACATGACTGAAGAATAACAGACGAGTTTGTTGCATTGTAGGTATCACCACTATTTAGCAAACCAGCAGGTGGTAGAACTTACCGTACCTACTGGTATGAATGGTATGAATGCGACAAATTATTTTATTACTCTTTGAAAAGTATGGTTAGGTTAACTTTTACTTGCTAGAGATCTCATAAAATAATCAATAAATACGAGAAATGCCACCCCAACCAGCAGAAGGCGATTATTTGGACATGAAGGCTTATCTAATATTGTATAATACTGTGTAGAACATTTTTTCACAAATCAACAAATATCAAGATTCACAAACGACCGTCAGTTGCAAGTGTTTGTCTGATACGTTTCTGCGTCAGGGTGCATCAAACAAGCTAAAGAGATGCTGGTGTTAAATATATAGTTCAGGAAATATTAATACAATATACCCGACTTTCCCCTACATTTAAAACAATTAAACTTGCACTACACATAGGTAAACATTTTTTATAAAACAGTTAAGCTGAACAGCGTATTAGGCAGGATTCAAATCTCATTTATTTTTTTTTAATTTATATCGAAACATTTTTAAATTTAAATAAAATGACTTGCTAGAACTAGATACTACTACCCTACCTGCACTGATCGAACTTATTTAATAGATACAAGTGAACAGTGTACTAGAGGCAAGTCAACTCATTTTTGACAGTTAATAATTCAATATATTTACATAAACAGATGCTTTAGATTTGACTGAACAAAGTTTTTTAGTTTTAGTGAATAATTTTTTAGTAAACTAGTGCTATAGTTTCATTTAAACTGTTTCAGAAACCAGACATTTATTAAATTGATTAAACTTGTTAGCTGCGACGTAGTTGATGAAAATTTATACCTAACAAAATTTTTAATTATTCCAATTGAAATTTTTTGTCAGTAAGCAGTGCCTATAAGCCTATAGAGCTGACTTGATTTCTTTACTTCCTTTGTTAAACATAGTCGTAGCTAGCTTTTTTCTGATTAACTAACTCGTGTTGAACATAAG